TTTTCCTACTATGTACCGCTTGGGCGTCAGTTCAAATGATGAATCAGCAGTTCAAATCAATCAAAGATAATGAATAAATAAGATACAAAAGTATCATTATTCTGGCAAATGTATTTCAACTTTTGAGTCTGTGCAGTTTTGAAAACCCGCATCTAGGGAATACCGATCGTTTTGCAAAGGCAATTGGCTTGGCGACGCTAAGTGGACCCTTGCAAGTGACCCGAACGTTTTCTTAGGACAAACTAATGAAGGGGCGAAATTACTGATGACATTCGGCCTGTCATCCATCGAAAATGACATGCACCGAGCCGTCAGAATCTGAAAAATGCAGTCACACACAAATGCTTCGTTTGAAGATGCCGCTTTGGAAAACGATTGTCAGTGGGCAAAAATCCATGCGCTTTTTTCATCTCACGTGATTTACTCTGAAATCGCGTGTGCAAACACTGACAAAACCATGACTTTTGCAGAATTTCAGTGTTCATGCAGATCATGCATTACAACTACCAAAAACATAAAGTATGATCAAGAATCCCTCATGTAAAGCACCTGATCACAAACTGACCTTCAGCAGCCACAAGACTCCAACCAGGTACCGGGAGAACTGGAGTTTGTAATTTTAGTAAATTCTTCCAGATACCAAAACAACTGTTGCATTTTGCAAGAGAATCCACTGTGGTAGGTGAGCCCTTTTGAGGTTCGTTACCAAGATACTCGGTACATTTTGCACGTGTCCCTTCATATGATCCCGTCATCTCTATCCCGTCTTCAAACCAGATTGATGGCATGATACCCAATGACCCAGAAAATATGTGAATCTCCAGCGACACCCACGTGACTCAGGTTCTCCGAACAGCAGGCCATTATCTATTCTCGAAGGTAGCTCGAGATTTTATAAGATATAAGATTTTAGTAACTGTCAAGAAATATGCACTGGATGTATGAACAAGATATCAAACGAATGAGAAAATATCGAGTAAACGTCAACCTAACATTTGATCACAGATGACCTTCCTAGTTTACAGCGATTTGGAAAGCACATCAAACTGAAAAGCTTAGTAAGTCAGTATTCTACGACTGTCTTGGTCAAAACAGTTTGACATAGGTTGTCTCATTTTACCAAATGTGTCGGCTGTGATCACCGCAAATGTGAACTACATCCAGAACTTCCGAATTCACTGTGGCCCCCTGAAAAATATAACACATAATCGCTTTTAGGTGAGACCCTTGCGCTGTTCGCGTTCGGTGAAGCGCACTCACTTGTCCTTCAGAAAAGCTGCGATTGAACGTTTTAGCAACAATACACATGATTGGGATCAGTTAATTCACTGGCACTTTTTCCGCCTGACTTATGCAAAGCCAGTGATCGTAAGGAGCAGAATACCCTCAGTAGTTTACACATTTCCCATTTGGTATGAAGCCATTTGTCTATGCATTGAGTCTGATCGGAAACGAGGGCTTTTGCGCTCCATGTAAAGAGCCGAAAAAGCTGCTTCATTAACGAATTTGTCACAATGATATGCAGAGTTTTTCAAGCTGGCATCACAGCTAAAATATAAGATAAAAGTTCGCATTTTACGGAGCAATTGACTTGCTGACTTCTAAACCCTGTTCATCTGCGAGATGGTGAGATAAACTTCGATATCAAGCAGTACTTCATGTCAGTTTTGAAGCGCATTCTTCATTCTCTTACTCAATATCCTCAAGGTTTTTATGGCTAGGCTTGAATAAAGCAGTGCACAAGTCATTGGCAGGACAACACCAGTGTTCAGTAATGATGCTTCGCTCCCGTACATAACATAATCCAAGTCCAGAGCAAGCCTCATTAATGAGAACGCGCGTTTAATCACCTTGCGACCTGTCCCGAATGTCAAGCTAGAATTCACTTTAAAATAGCCGCGCGAACTTAAATGCAGATGAGATAATAGATGCGAAACTTGGGACCAGCTCTTAACTCACTGATGAACACTTAGTGGTAGATACTTGAAGAAAAGCTCAATAATTTGTGGGTAGGGGGTAGTTCACCACAATCGACCACCGCTTGCGAAATGCCTTAAGCATCATCCGGTTCAGTGGTTAGAGCCCAGCTACTTAGTTTCTCCCAGTAGCTTGAAAACAGGGGAGCAAATATTGACAGTCACTTTCAGTTAATCGCAGGTGTGGCAAGTACGCTCACCTAAAACACCAGTCATATCTTGTAGTCGACGAAAGCAGCTACATATGGCATTTGCTGGATGGCCAATCAGCCAATCATGGCTCCGGTCAACACCGAATTCACTAATCAGTGTTTCTCACAACACAAGCGGAATTTGATGTTCAAGCAGGAAACGATGCGCATGGAGATTGGAGACTAGGTCTACCTGATGAGTCCCAAGGTAAAAATCAGTATTGGACCGTTTAAAACTTCCAGAGACAGTCTGAATGGTATTGAGTGGATGACAATTGGTAACCACACAAAGTTACTGATCTCACCAACACTATTATCGCCCTCAGAAACAGAAACACTAGTGTTGACACTGACGGTGATCACAATGCTTATCTAATTACAGTTGAAGTCTTATGGTGAGAATTGGATAGCGAGCGGATCGCACATTTTTCCAAACCTTCACTCAGACAACCTGGTAAGCAACTGAGAGCGTGAACGCCAGTAACATCAGTCAGACGCCATTTCCTGCAACGTTTCCAGCCATCCACAAGGGGGGGTCACATGGACCCCATCCTGGAAGGCAGACCACACCAAAGCACCAAAACACCTCGTCATCTCATTCACACCCTTTTACTAAGTTGTTCACCTTTGTGTCATTCTGAAGAAGACACAGAGAATAGTAGTCGACGATGATACGGCATGGCACATTCTGTAACACACGGCCGAACCACCACAGTCGATGGTGATGGGTTTTACACAAAAGAAGCAACAACTGCAAACCGAACACTCGCTTCCTATCTCACTGGGAATTCGTCGACGTCACCTGACAACTTTTCCAAGACAGTGGTGGCCGAAAATGTGAGGACATCTTAGACCATCTACCCGCAAAAAACATGTCTCACAATCATCCGAAATAGCCCGTGACGTAGCCTCACTCATGGTATACCCCCGTGATATACTTTCCTGGCACCAAAGAGGCGAACGTCACTCAAGGTTCGAAAATACTCTTGTCCCAGGTAATAGAATTACCGAGGTAGGTAGGAAATTATTCCTTGACCCGCAAAGAACATGTTCAGAGACTACAGAAGCCAAACCAAGACCGTAAGTTTTGTGAAAAGAAGGCACAATGGTCGTCAGTCTATTCAAGTGTTTGTAATTTGTGTCCATCTTCAAAGATTAGGAGGATGTCCACAAGATTCTGTTGTATCTAACTTGACCTTGTGATAATTCCCCATTCATTTGCTTATTCTCCAGTTGTTTCGCTCATCCGTACTCGCCACTCACCTTGCCGCAGAGACTGTCCCGTCAAACACTTGTAAACTGACATGTGTCTGTGCGCATCTGACCTTCTAATCCATGTGCATTGGTACCCACTTATAGAGGTTGTCTTGGCCTGTTTTCTCATGAGTTCCGTGTGACTGCACGGCCAATGGAAATCATGAGACTGTCGTCGGAGTGCACGACCTCAACCCAAACCAGTGAGCCATCATTCCGCTCGCCGTTGTTTGGCGTCCTGACGTTGACACTGCACTGTCACGGTCAGTGACAGGCCTGAGCACTTGAGAACAATTGGAGTTTGTTGTACATATTTGCCTACTCTTGTGTAATAGTGCCGTAGAATTTCGAACCAAATCCTTCCTTTTGATATTCGAGATTGTCAAACCTACGCGTCACTCGAAGTTCCGTATCCGCTTGAAGTCAAGAGACGACAAGACCGAAAGTCGGCTCCGCACACAGCGCTGCTTTGGCACTTGGTATGAAAATATGATCTTTTCTTCAAAAATAATGCTTGTTTGTTTGTTCCATGTCAACATCATTGATAAGGCTGATACTCTTAAACATCTACCAGCGGCATTTCTCATTGTCCCTACGAGTTCTGTGACCATCACCAACGATTAATTGCCTGTTGTAGACTACCCAGACAATACTAAATGCTTACAAATGCGTTCAGCTAGCTTTTGGCTTGTGGCTTTCGACAACCACAAGATAATGTTCTGCACTAGAAGATCGCTAGCTACGGCTAACATGGATTTAGTCTATTAATTCTGTAGTACTATCCGAATGAGTGACACGTTCCAAATAGAACAGCGACTGAAAGGAACTAGATATGCCTCATGGAGCTATTTTGCTGCCATCCCCCCATCGTGTTCTGTACCACCGTTGCCGTTAGTGAGTGCAAGTTGGCTCAACCAAACATGGAGTCATAAAGTGTATGGTACTTCATTCCAGTGAATCAAACCAACCGCGACTTAGTTATTCACGTCCCTCTGATGATTGCTGAAACAGATATCCACCAAGGTTCCCAAGTGATTCTCCTTTGCTTTCAAGAATGATGATATTCTCACCATTTTTCATAGCAAGTCTGTGCTTTACAATGGCCTGTTGACCTCATTCCTCATCAACTATCAAATAGTGCATACAAACGTTACCGGCTACCGCCCCCATACTTTGCATGTTTGTTGACCGGACGGTAACAGTAAGGAATTGTAAATATCGTGTAAATGGCTTACGTAACTATTAATACGTTGCCTTCTCTGTCTTCTGTGAAAAATCGGAAAGATACCTTCCCACGCAATCGGCACGTCAGTGTACACAAGAACTATTTTCAGCGAAATTTTTCTGGTCCCATATCTGCCCCCCCCCCACCGAAAACACCGTATACAGCTATCCCCCATTTCAAAGAGACTCCACAGTCCGTGTATAGTTTACAAGATAGCTCCACTTTCGCTGAGGAAGGCCTGTTTCACTTAGGGTTATTAAGTTGGTATGAGCAGATTACCAAACGTCCTTTCTGTTTCTATATTTTCCTGGCCCATTTCAAAGTTTTCCCCGATAATAGATGAACGAAACACTTTGCCTGGTTTGATTCAAAGAAATCGGTTTTATGTACAAGCAGACAAGGGAAGAAAATCAAGTTTTTCGTCCCTTTCTATGTACTTTAATTTTCGTCCGTTTTCCCCCTGAAGCAAGGCGTGCGTCCCGAACTACCTTCTTTGGTCTTCTCCCACTGCGCTTGTTCGATTTTTTGGACTCGCTTTGTGTAGCCAGAAATTCACTGACCAACTCCGTTTCCAAATCTCCGGAGGAGGATTGCTCAACCGAAACCGATTTCATTACTTCTAGGATTTCATTCCGTTTAGCCAGGGGTGCTTCGGACGCCCACGCAGTTCGCTTCAAACCAGGTTTCGTGGGTAGATCGGTTGTGCATGGTGTTCGCAGGTCACCAGCGGACACATGTTTTCCCTGCTTGGTGCGCTTCTGAAGTACATTCATAGCCTATGAGAAAAGATAGAATTTACAAGAGATAGAGTATTGCTGACATTCTTTGAAGAAACGCAAGCAAATCATTAAGACGAAATCAGGGTGCGTTTGTGCCCCTGAAATCAAAAAATACAAGTGTGAACAAGCGGTGATAACTCTTTCGTTGATTATCAGTATTTCGTAAGTCACAGAAAAAGAACAGACGAAGTCTGCCTACGGGACAACACAAATTTCATGTTGCCTAGTGCTCGTCCGATGGACATAGTCTCTTCGTTTCAACTTTTCCGCTTTTCGGGTGCCAGACTATGCAGGCAGTAAAACTCACGGGTCCTGAAAAGCGCAATTCAGTGTTCCAAGAAGTTGTCAAGAGAATGTAATCTGGTTGAATACGTTTTTTCACACCAATAAGAGCTTCTTCTTAGAGCAGTTCTATTTCACGAGAGGTGCGAAGTGCTATTGCTGTGGCGAAATACGCTGCCTTATCTGAAAAAGTGTCAAATCTGGTGGCTCAGAATAAAGATTTCAACACGAACTAACGCGAAAATGAATTATAAGAGAGTCGGGAGCCAACGCTGCGGTGAGTCAGGAGAGTATTAATATCCCTAATACAGTTGTCTTTTTAGGAGGGACGTCATTCGGCAGTGCCTGAAACGTCTCTCAATTAGAGATATTGCCCAATCGGAGATTTAATCCAAAACAAAACCAGAACCTTACACAGGTAAGAGGCTTTTTTCAACAACTTCAGGGCAAAACATGAATTCTAAAAGCGGACAGGAACCGTAGCGAAATGCCACACCATGGAACCGCTGGGTCATGCATGGCTGTTTACGTTTCTCCTCAAGCTGTTCAAACCACTTCTTTGTTTTTTCCTTTATTATCGGAAGAGGATAATCCTCAGCTTCAACCACCTTCCCCTGTACGCATGAGTTATTTTGAACTGAACTGTTGATGATATCTAAACATGATCCGAAAGATGTTATTCACGGAACTGTCAATTCCTGACAAATTGTAACTGGAGTAACGAATTCCAGATGCTAGCAGATTGCAGCTATATTCTCGCTTGAGACGGAAACGATCATTTCGCAGGCAGTTGGACGGATTTGCATATCAGCGATCGCAATGATGGCAGACTGAATGAAATCATCTCCTAGCGCCTAGAGAAGCTGCACGCAGAAATATATATGAAAAAATTCCCAGCCACAAGTGTGATCAACGGATGATGATGCGCTTGCATCCATTTTTGAAGTGTATGAACAAATCTCAAGGGGTATGGCAATGATTAAGTTTATTGCAGGAGTCAAGAATCCTGTCTTCTCACCCGGATAAAAAGATAATAAAAGATAATCACTCAGCTTTCTGTGCCTAGCTGCCATGCCACGCGAAGGAAGCACGAGGGCTAGGATACTGTCAGGTTGCCCAAGCCTAGACAGGGGAGGTCGAGGTCCGTGGTTCGAATCATGGACTTCGAACCTGACCTCATCCGGATAGTCCATTATCGGGCCCCAACCCCAGATTAGCGCACACAAATTTCTGATCCGCCTCAGCACTCATGTTGCTTCGGAAATACAGCAACATTGAACTAGCTCGGTAGCTTTTGAAAATGAAGGGCAAACTAGCGCTGGATTTTCTTCACATGCTTCCAATTGCCAGTCTCATACATAACCTAGGTATGGAAAATTCTACACCGACATTTGCTTTATATCGGTCCGGAAAATGCCGTCGCAACAAACTAATCAGTCGCGTAACAATTTTGAGTTACCGTGGAACCGACCAGGTCTCACGTTTCGCAGATTATCTTTGGCAACGGCCATACACTTGTACCAAAGGACCTACCCAAGTAAAGGAGGATAGGTCTGAAGAACAGATGCACGCCAACTTCGTGACCGGTCTAGGACCCGTGAGCCTAGTAGGGTATCTCTATCTGATGATGACAATTTTATTCTACGACAATGAAGAATACCCGATTTAACACCATTCACCTCCACCAGCCCAAAGATGTGCTTTGACGATATTACATGCTGGTCTATATTTTCGGTGAATGATGTTTAAAAGAAACTGTTGCTTTCGCACCCAAAAATTGTTATGCAGATCAGTCAGCAAGAGCATCAGCAACTTAGCCCAGAAATCTGAAACTACTCAGCCATTCTAAGCAAGGTGCGCTTCTTACCCCAACTGCCTGGGACAGTTTCTGGGTTAGAAATGAAGTACTGATAGCATACTCAATCAACAAATCAGCAATAACTCAGTCAAACAACAATCAGAAACACCCTCAAAAAGGTGAGAATGTGGTGAATACCATTAGATAACACCTTTCGCGGCAGCATGCAGTAGTCTTTGCTAGAGATACCGTAGCGAGTGGTCGGGAATTTCACCCCTATATGACGAACGTACGTACACGCATCATGCTAGTATGTGACTGGCTACAAATCTATCATGCTTCAGGTAGAAGTTGCAAAAAAAGAGTTGGAAAGCAGAAGGGATCGCACAGCCTCATGCCAAATGTAAGGGAACTCTCGCTTGCAGTGCTCATCGGATGCCCATCTCCAAGTTCAAGTCCGATGTGACTTTGACTGCAATGTCCACAAGCAGGCAAAACAAAAAAACTGGTTTCGTTAATTACCAAATAATTTAGTTTACAGCACCCACTAACACTTCTTCTACTGCTGAGTCCCGTGTGTGATGGGCGAACGGGATCAGCTGAGCGCTATCATTAAACAAGTCATAGTGGAATGCCAAAACTGCTTCTTGTGAATTAGGCCCAACTTTCTACATTGCTTGAGGACCACCAAATCCCTATACATATTGCCAACTCAAATAGGTTTCGGGAGATTGTGAAAACCCCAGGGGGTAATATCAGGATATCTTACCAACTAAAGCGCAATAATAAATGGACTGAACAATGCCTAGACCTGTTCCAAACAGTCCACGTGGAGCCATGCGAAGTTGAATGCATCGGCGAACTTGAAATCCACACAAACTAGAGAAGTACAGTGCTGCATATAGTAGTATTAGTATAGTATAGTGGCTGCAAACAACAACGCACTTCGGGAACCTGTGACACGGCGGTGTATACAGCGTAAAGCGATTTGACAGTAAGCACTCTTGACTGCTACAGGATGAGCTTAATGGAGGTCAACAATAGACGCAAAGGAGTTTAGAACATTCAGCTTTCTCAAACCAAGCAAACTTAGGGATTTGTCAGATCCAATGACGCAGAATATGGTAACACAATATAATATAAGAACGCAATACAGTTGCCAGCTCTGATTCCTGGCTTCCTGATGATAAAGCAACAAGGGCATTAGAAGGAGCAGCCTGAGAAAGTCTGCTGAGTATTTCATTTATGCCCACGATGCGACTGGTAATACGTGACTTCTTCAGATATCATAACCTGACGAAAGAAAAATTGAGGACCACCTAGTAATGGCACGGCTATGCGTAAGTGAACTTGTAAACTGACATCTCCGGGATACGGTACCAACCTGATTCGCTTGTGCCCCTGCCTCCTTGACCTGCGCGTCCAGTTCACCCACCGCGGCCTCTAAGGCCTGATCAGCAGCGCTGCCTGTTTCGATTAAAGACGGTACCTTTTGTGATTGATTGCCCAGAGCAGAAATAAGATGGGATTCGATCTCCTTCAGAAAGAACACCACGGAGTATTGTGTAAGCAGAGTGAGCGCACACCCCATGCGACCAGCACGAGCGGTACGTCCCACACGGTGCATATATGTCTTCGCGTCCAATGGGACGTCATAGTTGACAACCAATCCGACCTGAGGAATGTCTAATCCCCTGTTTGATAGGACACAGCGAAAAGAAACCGGGTTTTCAAGTGAATCGATGGTGGAATAAATCCTTTCGTACAAATAAATTCACAAGCAGTAGTGCCTCCTTGAAGGAAATAGTCTGAAGTACCGTTGAAGTAGTACAACTGTGCAAAACGTCTGACAACAGTGAAAGGCCAACAAATTCAAGAAAAAGTCAAAATCCGACCCGGAGCAAACACAAGTTGTACCCAAGGTCACACGGGGTTTGACAACGAATTAGTCCGTCTACATTATGTGGTCATTTGTACACATTCGGGCAAAGGCACAACTTTGAAATTTAAACTGAACACTATGGAGTGTTGAAAGCAGGGTTCAGAGACCTGTGATGAATAACCGCTATCAGCGTTCCTTCATTGCAGCGCATGTAAATCTAGGGATACTGAGGACCCATCATTTAATGCCTCTGTTGGTCGATCCTCAGGTGAAAAACTTAAGCAACGACTGAACACAGAACGTCCGCCCAAGTGTCCGCTTTTTGAAAACCCCCGATCATCCCAAGATGTGGTAGTGAGATTTCGGCAGAACCATGGATTGTTTCAGCAGACGGAATCCATCAGCAGCAAAATGATGCTAACTATCGTTGCTCCACTATGACAGAAGACACTAAAAGTATACAGACATTCATAAGGTGGCGTAAAGCACAGGCTCTCACGTCTCGCATCACAAGAGAATAGTGGACAAATCACGGCTGACAAATATCCGCGCAGATTTACGGGAGGTTTGCATCGAAACGCCCACTACTGGCCAGTTGGTGCACAAACCAGAGGAATAATAAAGTGCATCAGCAATAGCGACTAAACATGAGGAGAACGGTCGAATTCGATCATGGGGCTCGTTTATAAGGTTCATAAGTAAAAGACATGAGCAAACTGGTACCCGGAACACAAGTTCAGTCCTCCAACACCCGCCAGAGGTATCCCCTTCTAGGTGTATACACAGGTTATTTGCCTGGATAATGAAACTCGCAGTGTCTGTCTGGATCCCTTAAATTACCTCCCAGAGTCGTGATAACTATGTCACCTTCATAAGTGCATCAATGCGAATGGCTCGGTGTATGAACATAGATGATCCTAATACTATACAACAATAAGTGCACCCAACATTCAGATAAACGCCATTCAGTGCTGTGTCGTGAAATAATGCATTCCTGTCTAGAAATAAAAGACCAGTATTCTCAGCGCTCCACCGAGATTAGCAGAAAAAGTTCACAGGACAAGAGGTTGAGGCAAGAAAATTCAGGTTTATGTAGAGAGTCTCAATTGCACTTTCCAACCCTGCAAATTTCCTAGTAGGTTCGACCTCTACGCACATGTACATAGGCGCAGACTCAAGTCCAAAAAAAAAACGTGAGACTACAACTGAGAAACCTGAATTTCCATGGTCAGAAGCGAGGAGGAAAAACCTTCGAAGTTATTAAAGTAGAATTGTGCATGCAAGACGTGATTAAGTATACATATAATTCAGTTAAGGAGCTTATTTATACGAACTCACCGGCTAGCAACATCCGTCGCAACAAGCACAGCACCGTTTGTTTGTTTGAATTTGTACAACGCTCCGAGTCGTTGGGCCTGAGGCATATCACCGTTCAGAGCGATGACAGGCTGGCGGATAAACTGGCGAAGTAACAGGCTGAGACGGTTACTTGCCGCACGTGTTCTAGTGAACACAATGACAGACGTTGGCATCACGGATCTGAAGTGCCGAAGAAACGTGCTCTAAGAAACTTGGCATCAGATCAGATGCAATCATTTCACAAAAGTGTATAAAAAACAGTGGAAATTCTACACACAAATTGGACGCGGCATATCTGAGCCTCGAAGGCAAACAATTACAATAAACAGGAACCAAGTGATTACAGCTCAGACTTAGCCTCAAGAGTATTGATTGAACCGTGCAACGAAGGATCTCGGACCAGCATATACACCTGATAACACTGTGTTCGCGCAACACACCAAGAGTAAACAGACCGTGACAATACAACATTCTCACTCATATTTTAACCATAAATCCATACCTTATGGATGTGTACCCAACAGAGGGTACCATAGGAAAATAAACCTGGAATTCACTGGGATACCTTGTCAGGAAATCGGCTCAAAAACATCAAAATGAACGTGACAAAACTGTGCGGTCATTTTACGAGAATAAATTATTCTGGTGATTCCTCTTAAGTGCCTCGTGCTTCTATTGAATGCTTGGTTGTTATCCTGATTGTAATTCCCCGTCCTGTTTCAGTTTGGGAGGTAAACACATGCAAATCCTCAAACCGACTGCGATCAGGACTGAAGGGAAGCCAGGTCGTGGTGGGATGATGGTTATGAATAGGTAGTTGTTATTTAGGTATTTCCCTCACCTGTACGACCACAACATTAGGCGATGACAGCGAATGTTCTCCTTTCTAGGCATACATATACGAGTGAAGCTTTGGTGTCCGGAAGCTTAGAAAGATTTGGAAGGTCCAAATAGCTGGAAGTCATCATAGACAAAAGACCAGTATGAATAAAGTTCACCTCGGGCCAATAAAATGCCAAGTGAAAGTAGCGGTATATGAAAATTCATTCTTCGTCGATGGGTCAGGTGCACGGAAGGCATGTAACCTTGACACTCGTGAAATCAGAAGTGTTACTTTGGTGTCCCTTGAGCGAACACACAGTAGGAGGCCGCATCCAAAACGAGAACAGAGGAGCTGCTATCAATATACCGACCACAAGAGTAACTGACCGAATGGCTTAGTTCAAACTAAGCCAAACCAAAGTTCAAACGTGTTATCAAAAAGAATGGAGTGATTGGACTAGGCACGAGTGATGCGGCCACATAGTTTACAGAAACAAGCTGTTTTAAAATATCAAAACTACTCAAACTGACGTGAACAAAATTTATCTGCCTCCTCATTCAGCCATTACCACAATATATAAACAACACGTTAACATAGTATAAACCTTACGGCTCCGTGCAAATTCACTCGCTACCTTTTAAATTTCCGTAATATCCCCTTGAATAGGCAAAACTCCGAGTGCGTAGGGACTCTAGTGAGTAAGGACTTAGCTTCTTGTAATTAACAAAATTTGGACGATGTGAAATAACCGATAAGCTATCTGTCTCGCTATGCTATGATAAGAGACGGCAAGTTGAACAATGGTGTTCAGTTACTTGGGCTTGTCCTCTTCAGATTCGGCCACGTCGGACTCCAACCGAATCGCTTCTAGGCCGAGCGCTTCCATCTCCGGACAAAGGGCCACACGAAGTAGATAGACCAAATAGCTATCCAGCTCCGCTTGTGGGACCAAAAGTACAAACTGACGCAGATTGGCTACCATTTGGAACTTGCTCTTACGTGTGGATACAAACACAGGATCACGAACAGAGGCACGTTGGAGCTTCCCCACCTGGACACGATACAAGGCAGTTAGTTAACTTCAGGATAACAGAAAATCAGGAAGCGGGGGGATTAACATCCTATTCAGACAAGGACAAACCGACGCGCACGTTCACATACTGAGCTGGACCAGAATGCTTTGGAACAGATGATTGACTTAGTCGCAGGAATCTTTCAGACTACGAGCAATAGAGACGGCAAATAAGGCCGTTACTAAACTGAGCCAAAAGAACAAAACAAACAATGGTTGGGTGGATATGCTCCAGCAAAACAAAGTCACACGTTCAAATGGCTCCGTGGAGATACGACAGAGTATCGGCTGCAGCTGTGGAGGCCTGGTCCAGTATATTTAGACAAAGTGTGAGGAGCAAAAGAAACCAAACATATTCATGTATGATGAAACCAGATAGCTGTCTCACCTATGAAAATCACGCTATCCATTCGAAGACGACGGCAAAGCAGTAATCATTAAAGGTAGCACTAATGTAATGTGAAACTAAATTGCGGGAAGAAAGCTATAGGTTATTTTACTAACTCAGCGGATAGTGCCAAAAATAGTGCAAAAATCTTATTTTTCAGGCGGTACATTTAGTCAGGTTAAACACCACCGATGGGGGAGATGGTTTTACCGCAGTGGTAAAGAAGAGGATATGGTTCGGTTCAGCTGTCTACGAATATCGCTGACGTAGTAGGCTATGTACGTTATTACAAAGTAAGACGTAGATTTTTGGATGAGAAAGTGATGACACCGAAGCCATACACAGAAAGCGAATAAAGTAAGATCACATCGCTCAAGCGTGAACACGTTCGCCCGTTCAGACATGAGGATTCAGATGCGTTCAATGCGCGCCGGTGGAATAGTGGTATCGCGTTCGCCTTGCATGTCAGGTGTCTTGAGTTTAAACTCCGGCACGGCCATTGGATATGCATTGCACACTAAGAGCGGAACTCGAGTCCAGTGCTTCTCCCCCCCCCCTTTGGTGTGGATTCACCAGAATAATTACGCCAAGATAGTAGGACGACTGCTCAAACGAGAGTGACGTGAATGTGAACAATACACATCCTACAAACCCCACAACATGAATAAAATAAAATAACTGATTCTAGGGATACATCGAAGCGATACTGAAGATGGATTTCCGTATGCTAACTGATTCGGCGTAACTTTACTGGAAAATTAAGAGGAGAAGTTAAAAACCATGGCTCTCAAAAACGAGTGCGCTAAAACAAATTTGTGGTATCCAAGGCGTTTTATCGCACAACACATGTATCCAAAACTGAACCAAACACCGGTAAAAGCATGGCAGCGCAGGCCCTGATAAACAGCAGATTCATCGTTGTTGACGCCTCTGCAGTCTCAAGACGAAGTCAACCACTTCAGTCACCGTGTCTAGTTTCAACACGAAACATAGAACGCGATATTATTGCGCGGTAGTCCATTTTTCGAGTCACCACGCGGAATATTCATTCGGTAGATGTAAGCTACCATCCGGTGTATCTGCACACAGCAATCAACAAAACCATTCGGACAGGGGTATCGTTGTGCGAGTTCGAATGGAAGGGAATTCTAGCCTACATAAACAAGGTGCTCTTACGATGACACCCAATCTGGCACGGACGGTGGACAGACAAGACAAAACAGCCTCCCAAAAATTCAGGATTGTTCGGAAAAATTTAACCAAGTTGGCTGGTCCGTACCGGATAAGGTCATCACGAGCCTGAAAACTCGATAGCAATATCATACACAGCTATGGACTTAGGCACCAGCGACTTGAACTGACCGCTTGGGCGGTAATACTATCAATGTTGGAGACAGGAAATTTGAATGGTCAAAACTGTCTGTATTGGTCCTGACAAGCCTCAAAAGGAGCACTAGATCAATGGTCTTTTACGGAAGCCAGCATGATAGACGTCCGGAATTCAAACTTCAGAAGGATATCCAAAGAGATATCTTTGATTAGCCCTAATAAGAGAGAAACTCGGACCCAGCGCTCCGATTGTTGGCCCACCGAAATAATTGTGCCGTAAAAAAGACTTTTCGTACGAGTGATGTGAACGTAACAAAGATCAAGTATTTGTTCGGGTTGAGCAGTGTGCAGTTCGGACATTAACAATCCCGAGGAGACAACCATTCAGATGCAACATTTCTCTGGTATCTAGCAGCCACCCGAAGGAAGCACGAGGGCTGAGATACTGCCAGGTTACAAAGCTTAAACAGAAACAGTCAAGACGCCGGGGTTGCATTCGAACCACGGACCTTCCCATCACTAAGCTCACATCTTAACCACTGAACTATCTCGAACAGTTTCAGAAAATGCTAGGGCCTAAACCCAAGGGGACCGCACAGTTCGAGAAATACATTGTAAACCAAACAAAAAGGATTGAGCTATATATCATAAGATAAATACATCATAATAATACATCATAAATCGAAGACTCGTGGCACTAGTGAACTGCGTATACACTTTCCAATAAAAGATGCGCATAGACCGTCCATCGTTCGCATGAACATGAAACTGGAATAAGCGTTTCTTCAGGGAGTTGAAGTGGACGCACAATCTGGGGCAAACTAAGAAAACCTCCGTATCGTCCACATCAATTGAGCTTATTCTATTCTAAATCTCCATTTCATTAGCGTCACGGTACAGCAAACAATCAGCTGTGTGTGGTGGGGCCTGTGGCCATTCGATCGAACATAAATAGAAGATGGGTACTGGTGTGATCCCGCATGGTGCTCACCTTGTCCGTCATAGTGGCAGAGAATAAAAATGTCTGGCGTGTACGTGGTAACATGCACAGGATCTTCTCCAGTACTGTATCAAAGTCGGAACCCAACATTCGATCCGCTTCATCAATCACAAGGAAATGTAGGTTAGCGAATTTGATTTCATCAAATCCCTTGGTCTTCTTCAGGTGATCGACCAAACGTCCTGGAGTAGCTGTTGAGATTGAACAAAGAAAACGGAGAACAGTAAGGTGTCGAACGTGAGAACAAAGGAAAAACCGATTTCTGTGTAATTGTGAGTAATGCACATGAAAATCAAAAATAAAACTGGCAAAGGTAAAGTATTGGCAGAACTATCCAGTTAGTCCAGGGTGACCCCACATTCAACGAACCCTGATAGTAATAATAGTAGTAGTAAGTATTGGAAGGATAATACTGAGGATATCGATCTTATATCGTATTGGAGATACTGGTTGGGAAATATGTGGCCCATTGCAAGAAGACTGTTAGGGCATACATTGGTCAGTCATGCGATTACTTGACTACCGGCTTAACAGTGTTGATGGACCAAATATATCCAAAGCCTGAATTCTCTAGGTAGGACATGGTTACATACGTTTGGCCGGTGAATTAGTTGTGGGCCTGACTGTGAGTGAATAAACAAGTTATCCCAAATATCACTTAACCGTTTTAGGTTTTGGTATATGCACACAGACTTCAACTGGATTTCAATTCACACAGATTTCCCTGCGTGGTTTATGGTTTATCAAATCTTTCGCCGATGATATGGGACAAAACAGGCGAACACTCGCTCTACGCAGCACATACAAATGGCGGGGTGGACGCACAATCTGGGGCAAACTAAGAAAACCTCCGTATCGTCCACATCAATTGAGCTTATTCTATTCTAAATCTCCATTTCATTAGCGTCACGGTACAGCAAACAATCAGCTGTGTGTGGTGGGGCCTGTGGCCATTCGATCGAACATAAATAGAAGATGGGTACTGGTGTGATCCCGCATGGTGCTCACCTTGTCCGTCATAGTGGCAGAGAATAAAAATGTCTGGCGTGTACGTGGTAACATGCACAGGATCTTCTCCAGTACTGTATCAAAGTCGGAACCCAACATTCGATCCGCTTCATCAATCACAAGGAAATGTAGGTTAGCGAATTTGATTTCATCAAATCCCTTGGTCTTCTTCAGGTGATCGACCAAACGTCCTGGAGTAGCTGTTGAGATTGAACAAAGAAAACGGAGAACAGTAAGGTGTCGAACGTGAGAACAAAGGAAAAACCGATTTCTGTGTAATTGTGAGTAATGCACATGAAAATCAAAAATAAAACTGGCAAAGGTAAAGTATTGGCAGAACTATCCAGTTAGTCCAGGGTGACCCCACATTCAACGAACCCTGATAGTAATAATAGTAGTAGTAAGTATTGGAAGGATAATACTGAGGATATCGATCTTATATCGTATTGGAGATACTGGTTGGGAAATATGTGGCCCATTGCAAGAAGACTGTTAGGGCATACATTGGTCAGTCATGCGATTACTTGACTACCGGCTTAACAGTGTTGATGGACCAAATATATCCAAAGCCTGAATTCTCTAGGTAGGACATGGTTACATACGTTTGGCCGGTGAATTAGTTGTGGGCCTGACTGTGAGTGAATAAACAAGTTATCCCAAATATCACTTAACCGTTTTAGGTTTTGGTATATGCACACAGACTTCAACTGGATTTCAATTCACACAGATTTCCCTGCGTGGTTTATGGTTTATCAAATCTTTCGCCGATGATATGGGACAAAACAGGCGAACACTCGCTCTACGCAGCACATACAAATGGCGGGAAGAAGCCACGATAAAAATTGAAGGTTCATTCGATGAAAGTACAACCAGGGCTTGAACCGAAGAAGAACGTTTACCAATAATGAAGCAAGCCGAATTCAGGTTCGATACAAAAATAAAAATGTTCACATTTGGACGGTTTTCTTCCCGTTCTGGCACATGCTAAAGGGGAGGAACAGCAGACTCGAGTTTCGCTCGTGTTAGGTGTCAGCCTGGGCTGCATCGGGATATTTTCTGTCCTGGATTAAACGTAAGAAACACCAAATTATTGTGTCTGAACTCTAGTGACGTGTGTAGAATAGCCAGATATCTTGACAGACGACCCAGGAACCACCCTGTTTTTACCGAACACGTAGGATTTTTTCGGCCTGTCAATGCGAGGATGGCTCGAAATCTGTTGGAAGGCGGAAACTTGTAAGAATACAAGTTGCGTACAGATCAAGGATGCTTCATATTGTGTTCCGTTTTCAGCAGCAGTAGCAGCGGTTTTATACCGTATGTGGTATAGTAGTTACAGCTACACATTGAATGCAGTAGCTGGTATTTCTGGACCGTGAATCCGAGGTGGCAGCAGATATTTTATTGGGGAGATCGGGAAGGGAAGCTACGCACTGAATGTGAAAGCTTGAATATACACTCACCACTGAGCGCCACTGGGCCATGTCCGTCAACACTTCCAGCCATTGGCATCTTGTCTATGTATCCCTATCCAGGGAGACAACAGCACCCAGTGCGACTGAGTTTGCTGGCACTGAGTTTCATACTTACCACCAGTTCATTGAGTGGCTTACCCGGACCCGTTTCCAGCTTCCGCATGGTTCGGTGAACTGTCCTTCAAATTGGCCCATCATTCTAATAGGCGCTGCTGTGAATGACCAGCGTGAACTCTATATGATGGAACACCACTAACAAACCAGCTGGAAAAGTATGCCTTGAGAGAGAAATGCTAACTACGAAGTCGGGGAAATATCACGAGTCGTGCAGAACTAATGTTGTATAACGACCTTTCTATCGTTCTGTTGTAGATAACTTCGACTTGATATGAATAAATAGCACGAAATTGGAAACAGTTTTCACTAGGACTACCACTACTAATATTTGAACCTAAGTTTTCTTAATAACACTTTTAGTGACACTGTTGCATTGAGTGTTTTTGTTTCGAAGTGAAACGTGAGTGTTTTATCAAATTTTGACAATAAAAATTTCAAGGCGGGCCCGGAAACTCACCAATGAGAACATGTGGGGGCGCGAGACGCATCTGATCCGCCTGCTGTGTAATGGGGACCCCTCCGACCAGAAGAATGGCGCGCAAACCGACAGCTTTTCCCAAAGCGGAAAACTGAGCTTGAACTTGAGCAGCCAATTCTCTAGTCGGTGCCAACACGAGGGCGAAGTAATGATATGGGTTGTCCAGGAGTTTCTAATAAAACTTTATCCTAATATGGCAGATAATGTACCTGAACAATGGGAAGAGCATACGCGCCAGTTTTACCTGATCCAGTCTCAGCCAAGGCTACCAGGTTGCGACCTGAAACGTAAGACAGCTACATCAGACTAACCTTCAAGTGCGGGCGGGATGGATAGCGCTTGTATGGCGGTGGGTACCTTCCACTGAAGCTGTGTACAAGCTTGTTGCAACTCAGCGCGGAGACCCTCAGGAGTAGTGCGTGACTAACACAAGAACTCACTATATCAGCGAAAGACTTTGTTTCCGCCATCTGAATAAAAGAAATTGTTTTATTACCAGCATTCACTGTCTTGATAAAAGCGCATGCAAAAGCTGACCAGCTGGAAAAGAAATGCATAAGACAATATGTGAGGCATATCCAATAATGCACGATAAAGCAGGTGTGTGCTGCATGGAATCGGCTAACAAAAGGTCACCAGACCTTAAAAACCAAGTGGTCTTCGTACCAACCGATTCATTTGTAAATATTGAAATAAATCAAAATAAACTGACGAACTCGTCACACGAAGTCTATCTCAAAAAACCCGAGAAAAAACCCTCCTCGATACTCATAAGCCAAGAGGACGGAATGAATGTTCTTCCTTCGTTGCAAACATCCACAGTAGCCGGTAGGTGAGAAGTCCTGGGCCCAAGTTCTCTTCCTTAAAGTTCGTTTGTTCTAAGAATGGTTTGTCTTTATCATGTAACCATGCAATTAGGGGGAAGTGGACTACACTGTTAGGAAACCCATGTAAAATACATAGACAAAGGCGTCAAAACAGGGTCAAACCTCAAGAGTTCCGGGCCGAAATCGGCTTGGTAAGTGTTAAAAAGATTGAACGTCATGTGGTGTATAATATGGGTTTTTTAATTACAAAGACAAGACAGCGAAATGGGTTGTTGTAAGCCAGAGTTTCGGTTACCGTGACCGACTTCCCAAGAATTTCTACAATCAATTGAATACGAGTCAAATGCAGCGACAACACGTTCCAACGACACCTTGTAAGGGCTAAGGACCCAATCGAACTGAAACACCATACAAACTGCATCTACCAAGTTCCCTGTGCAGAATGTCCGGCAAAATACGTAGGCTCGACAGCTAGGCAACTGTATGTACGGATAGCGGAGGATAAACGACAGGCACATTTTCCTCCAAGAAACCCGATAGAGTTCAAAAAAACTAGAACGCAATTCAGCCACTGCACTTCACGCGTTTGAATCAAACCATCCAATCAAGTTTGACAGTACTGGCACACTACAGTCAGGATTCAAGTCACGTGCGGAACGGACGTGCGCGGACACCCTAGAGATCCCATTCCTGAATCTCAAGGGAAGTATGTATCAGGCTAAAGTACGGGCTGTTTTGTTGCTGGCCTGTTCAATTACCGAAACTAAGACATCTTCAGGTTTTCGACAACCGTTGTCTCACAGTCACACAAACCACAGACCATCACACCGCGATAAGGTCATCTCTTCATACACCCATCGTCTTATACCTATAGCTAGGGGGGGTTAGCTTAGGAAAATCGACAACGAGCCGTTTTGAAAGTAAGTTTTTGCAAGGAGGACAATGAAAGCCTGTCGCATAGCTGGGGCGACAACGCGAGGTCCTAGTTGGTTGGATGCGCAAAAAAAGGCTCAATCAAAGGGTATGGAACTGGAGAGCCTCTTCGTTGTCTGCTGAGCTGAATTGCATCTTCCTGCGTGAAAAAAAAATCCTACCAAATAACGGGTGGCAAACGATGGTTAGGTATACGCACCACATGTCCAAACCAACGCAGCTTCTGTTACTGGACGCATTCTTCAATGGAAGTACCCGTTGCACAACCGAAAACATGCCTTCCACTTGCCTCGTTACGGATTCGCCGGCACCAACCCACGTGAGCTATGGTTCTGATGGAACGATTGCCGAACACATGAAGACGTCTCAGCTCCGCTGCTCGAACAGGCCAAGTCTCACACACTTTGTGGGTGCAAAGCGCATACCAAAGGACGGAATGGCTGTGGTCAGTTCATCCAAAAACACTTGTACCTTCTCCTCCTCTTCGAAGATGAGAACGATGTCATTTACATATTCCAGATGGACAAGGTCTTCGTCACAGGCTATTTGAACACCAGTGTACGCCACACCTTCCGTTTTCGTCTCATCACCATCATCATCACTGTCAGCTGCAAGAACCGCGTACTCGTCGTACACTGGTTGTAGCTGCCACAGTTTCGTTCACCGATGATTGGGGGGTAAGTAGCTGCGCATTGCACGCGCGAGCTGGTAAATTGGTGCATAAATCCAGCCCTGTCAGAGGGCTGTCAAGTGGGGGGTTGGAAAAGGAGCTATGCATTGAAGGCAGTAGCTTTGATGCACGAGTGCCATTGAGGGCGCGACTGGGCCATATCTGACAACGTCTCTAGCCATTGATGTGGCCCTTCTCGGGGTCCCCATCCAGGAAGACGGCAATTACCAGCGCAGCTGAGTTTGCTGGTAATGGCTTTCATACTTCACTGCCAAGTCATTGTTTGACCGCCTCTGGCTCTCTTCCAACCTTCACATGGTTGGGCGAAAAGAGCCCTTCGAGGAAGTCGGTCGACTGGCATACGCAGCACGTGGTCAAGCAAGCGCAACCTGTGCAGTGTGATTAGTTCATCTATCGAGGGTGAGTTATTTCTCCCGGATACCATTCGACGTACTTCAGAATTGCTGATCCGGTGTTCCCACCAGATTCGGGCAATGCTCCGGAGACATCGATGGTCAAACAATGAAAGTCTTTTGACGTCCTCGGTGCGCAGTGGCCAGGTTTCTGATCCATATAGTAATAGGGAGCGCACCGCAGCATTGTAAACTCGACCCTTGACAGAGAAACTGATGTCACGCCTACGCCACAGGTGACGTAGGTTCGCAAAAGCTGCTCTGGCCTTCCCAAT